AAAAAATGGGCATAAAATGGGAAAAAATGGGCAAAAAAACGAGAAAAAAATGGAGAAAAAATGGGCAAAAAATGGGCCTAAAAAGGGCATAAAATGGGCATAAAATGGGTATAAAATGGGTATAAAATGGGTATAAAATGGGTATAAAATGGGTATAAAATGGGTATAAAATGGGTATAAAATGGGTATAAAATGGGTATAAAATGGGTATAAAATGGGTATAAAATGGGTATAAAATGGGTATAAAATGGGTATAAAATGGGTATAAAATGGGTATAAAATGGGTATAAAATGGGTATAAAATGGGTATAAAATGGGTATAAAATGGGTATAAAATGGGTATAAAATGGGTATAAAATGGGTATAAAATGGGTATAAAATGGGTATAAAATGGGTATAAAATGGGTATAAAATGGGTATAAAATGGGTATAAAATGGGTATAAAATGGGTATAAAATGGGTATAAAATGGGTATAAAATGGGTATAAAATGGGTATAAAATGGGTATAAAATGGGTATAAAATGGGTATAAAATGGGTATAAAATGGGTATAAAATGGGTATAAAATGGGTATAAAATGGGTATAAAATGGGTATAAAATGGGTATAAAATGGGTATAAAATGGGTATAAAATGGGTATAAAATGGGTATAAAATGGGTATAAAATGGGTATAAAATGGGTATAAAATGGGTATAAAATGGGTATAAAATGGGTATAAAATGGGTATAAAATGGGTATAAAATGGGTATAAAATGGGTATAAAATGGGTATAAAATGGGTATAAAATGGGTATAAAATGGGTATAAAATGGGTATAAAATGGGTATAAAATGGGTATAAAATGGGTATAAAATGGGTATAAAATGGGTATAAAATGGGTATAAAATGGGTATAAAATGGGTATAAAATGGGTATAAAATGGGTATAAAATGGGTATAAAATGGGTATAAAATGGGTATAAAATGGGTATAAAATGGGTATAAAATGGGTATAAAATGGGTATAAAATGGGTATAAAATGGGTATAAAATGGGTATAAAATGGGTATAAAATGGGTATAAAATGGGTATAAAATGGGTATAAAATGGGTATAAAATGGGTATAAAATGGGTATAAAATGGGTATAAAATGGGTATAAAATGGGTATAAAATGGGTATAAAATGGGTATAAAATGGGTATAAAATGGGTATAAAATGGGTATAAAATGGGTATAAAATGGGTATAAAATGGGTATAAAATGGGTATAAAATGGGTATAAAATGGGTATAAAATGGGTATAAAATGGGTATAAAATGGGTATAAAATGGGTATAAAATGGGTATAAAATGGGTATAAAATGGGTATAAAATGGGTATAAAATGGGTATAAAATGGGTATAAAATGGGTATAAAATGGGTATAAAATGGGTATAAAATGGGTATAAAATGGGTATAAAATGGGTATAAAATGGGTATAAAATGGGTATAAAATGGGTATAAAATGGGTATAAAATGGGTATAAAATGGGTATAAAATGGGTATAAAATGGGTATAAAATGGGTATAAAATGGGTATAAAATGGGTATAAAATGGGTATAAAATGGGTATAAAATGGGTATAAAATGGGTATAAAATGGGTATAAAATGGGTATAAAATGGGTATAAAATGGGTATAAAATGGGTATAAAATGGGTATAAAATGGGTATAAAATGGGTATAAAATGGGCATAAAATGGGAAAAAATGGGAATAAAATGGGCATAAAATGGGTATAAAATGGGTATAAAATGGGCATAAAATGGGCATAAAAATCACAAAAAATGGGCAAAAAATGGGAAAAAAATGGACAAAAAATGGGAAAAAATTGGCATAAAATGGGCATAAAATGGGCGTAAAATGGGTGAAAAACGGGCAAAAAATGGGAAAAAATGGGCATAAAATGGGCAAAAGATGGGCATAAAATGGGTAAAAAAAGGGCAAAAAAAGGACAAGACCACAGCGAGGCGCGTCCCACCTGCGCGGCGCTGGGCTCGTGCGTGCGCGTGTCGCCGTTGGTCAGTGTCCAGTAGAAGGAGGCGATGTCCACGCTGCGGGTGGCTCCGGCCAGCAGCTCCAGCCACGCCTCGAAGGTGGACGGGCCGGGCGCCGCGCCCACGGCCATGCCCTCGGGGATGCTCTCCACCAGCACGATCCTGCCGAATTTGGGGGGGATTTTTGGGGGGTCCCTCGGGGGGGTGCCCCTCGCCCCGAAATCCGGCCTTACCTGCAGGAGTCGCCGCAGGTGACGTCGGCGCGGCGGCGGAGGCGCGGGTGGAGGAGGAGGAGGAAGGTGAGGAGGAAGAGGATGGAGAGGACGGCGAAGAGCGCGGCGCCGTGGGGGCGCCGCTGGAGGGGGGGACGCACCGAAAATTTGGGGGGGTTTTGGTTAATTTTGGGGGTTTCATGCCAGCCGCGGTGCGGGGAAGGGAGGGGGGAGGGAGGGGTACCTTGGGGGTCTCACGGCGATCCAGAGGGTCCAGCTGGGGGGGGGAACGAGCCCAAATTTGGGGGGTAGAGACCCCAAGTTTGGGGGAGGATGGGTTGAAGCACACCCCGAAATTCCCAGGATCCCCCCACCCCCATTCCCAGGGGTTCCCGTGGGAGGTTGGGGTGGGGGGAGCCCCAAGATTTGGGGAGTTGGGGGCTCTGTGATCCCAAATTAAAAGGTTTGGGACCCCCAGATTTGGGGTTTGGGGCAGGGAATCCCCT